GCCTTTCTACGTCAACTCGACTTTCGGATTTTAACTGACCGGATTTCGGTCAGCTTTTTTCCCCCTGAAAAGTACTTTTTTGAAATGGTTAACAAGCCTTTCGGCTTTTTCACAAATTGTTTCATAGGAAAAGCTACACTACAAGCTCCTAAAAATGCATTGCCACAGCCGTTGGCATGTATTGAGAAAATATTTTCTCTAAACGTTTTAATAAAACCATCTAAAAAACTTTGCTCCTCTAAAGAGCACGAGCATAAAGAAAAGATGTCGAACCTCCCACTTTGGTATCCTTTCCAGCAATTTTACTCCCCCGTGAAATTTATTAGATGCTATTACGGGTAAATTCACGATTCCGGAATAAATTTACGAGATGCAGCGCAAATATTCTCGTATTCTTGTCAACGTAAAGAGATCAAGTTGCAGGCGAAGGAAGAACAAAATCGTTTCGTCGTGTAATTCGTTGCTTCTCTGATGTAAGGACGTGCCTCGATTTATACGTGAGCTCTGTTATTCATATAACCCTATGCTTTCTGGGGCTCATGTAAAAATAGAGATATGCCCTTACGTCAAAGGAGCGACGGATTGAGGAGTCTACGGAGCGCGCACTCGATAATCAGGATCTGTGTAGTAAAAATGGCGGATACATTCTGCCACGTTGTCATTATGACGAGGTAAAAATAAGCAATAGAATAAATACAAATAACAAGTAGGGATGAAGGAAGTGCACGGAAACAGAATTTCAAAATAAGAGGAATCGTTGATAAAAATATACATTTTTTTGTTCGCCCCGGAGCTGTTTTGAAAACCCGGAGTACTAAAATAGAGTATTAATGCTGTATATTTTCATAATACGCGCTCTGAAATTCACCCGTATCTTTAGGGTGACCATCTTTCATGGAGTAACGTGAACTTTCGATGAATTATTCAAAAGGCACTTGTGATGACGGTCTTTCCTGCAGTAACATCTCCTGCTTACCCTTCTTTTCCCTTTTTTTCTCCTTTTTCACGTTTTCTATGGCCCAGATTATTTCATTGGCTTCTGAGAGAACCGAAAGTTTTCCCCCTCTTCGCCCACTTTCCCAACCTCCTGGCCCCAATATCTATTTTTGAAGTTCGTGTACCGCGCCTCAACTTGGTTTTTCGCCGGTTTTTTTGACGTATTATCAATCAAATTTTTATGATAGAATAAGTAATCGATATTTGTCGACTTTTGCTGAAACATTTTTCTCCCACCTCCTTTCTCCTCACAACAACTTTTTGGTCTCTTTATTTCACACATTGATCGCAATCAAAATATCGATGGCTAAGGAACTAATGTTCCTTAGCCAAAAAAAAAACCGCCTATCTGCAAACTGACAGTTTTGCAGGACTCTCCATTTTCCTTTTCTCTTATTTTTAGTTTATTGCTTCGTCTATCGATTTCAATAAACTTGCTGATCAGCTCCATTCAATTTGTGCACTTCATACATCCATATCCCACGCGCACAACGAGTTTCCTTGATACCACTATTCGAACTCCGATGTGTTGCGGAGTATCATTTTCGTTTGAAGGCGCTTTGAAAAAAACATGCGAACACGTCTACGGCGTTCCTTCTCGTTGCAGGGTCTCTCGTGGGTTGCCACCAGTCAGCCTACCACTCACCTTATTTGTCCATTGCAACCATCCGCTCTCACCAATAGGATCGCTCCATTGTCTCTTTGTTTTCTTTGCGTATCGTTTTGTCAATATACGTCAATATACTCGTATTTCAAAAATCAAACCGCGGGGCCTAAGGACACATGTCAAAAACTGGAAAAAACACATTGGTCCAGACTCTTAAAAACATCGACAAGAAAAAATACTCTTGATTCAATCAGATTTAAGCTTAAATCAAGAACCAAGCCTCTTAATTTGAAGCCATCCACATTCTGATGGCTAGCTTTGATGGTGTGACACAGGCTTTCGGTCATTCTCTTCCTAAGTGGATACTCCACACTGGGAAAAAAACACATTGGATCTAGAGTCCAGACTCTTGAAAACATTGACAAGAAAAAATACTCTTGATTCAATCAGATTTAAGCTTAAATCAAGAACCAAGCCTCTTAATTTGAGCGGATTTTCTTTTGATTTAAGCTTAAATCTGATTGAATCAAGAGTATTTTTTCTTGTCAATGTTTTCAAGAGTCTGGACTCTAGATCCAATGTGTTTTTTTTCCAGTGCTTTTCGTTAGCAAACTTGGCAACGCCCGAGGCGCATGCTCGCCCGGGCCTCTTGTCACGGACCCGGGAGTGCGGTAAATTACATCTGTAGAATGCTCATACAGTGCGGGAGGCGCCGCCGTGAGTTTTATCGTCCCTCCGCCCCAGCAACACCCCAACCGCCTTATCTTCCGCGCCGCGGGCACGGCGCTACGGCACGGAGACGGGGGCTCAGTCCGTAGCGATCTTACGTCCTTCCGCGCCGCGGAGGCAGGATCGTGATTCCGAGGGAATGCAAGAGCAATCCGGGCGGGAGGTCCCGAGGAGGTTGCACTGCATTCGCAGATGATTGGACCCGAGGGTGACATTTTATGAATGTATTTAAGAGATCAGCCGGTTATTGTCATTCCGCGAATACTCATCGATTCCTTCCACGCTCCAGCCCTCCGCGGCGGCAAAAAAAGGGTGGAAGCGGGGGTGGGGGGTGGTGAGATGGGGTCCCTGTCCCCGTCACGCCACGATTGAGCTGTTACCCCCTCCCCCTTCGCACCCCTCCCACTCCACCGACGCCTGTGGATCTCGCACGTTTCTACATCCGTGCACGCGTTCCGCTCACCATCCCTACCGTGCGAGGAAAGAACGTCGTATGAACTTTCAGACGTTGCTGTATTTCCTTTCATAAAAACCGAATTTGTTGGGTAAATCGTAAAAGTTTTTCACCTAATTTTTCAGACAACACCGTTCGCAATTCAATTTAGTGAAATATCTGGAAATTGCAAGAATAAACGTACGAAACTTCTCTCAAAAATGCTTGTTTTACTTGATGAGATGTGGCCACTCTCGAATGCTCACACGCCGTTCTTCCATACGTTATAGCACGGCGGATCTCGCCCCCGCGGGGTCACCTGGAATCAAAAGCGGTCGCCACCGTGCCTCCCTCTCGTGGGCAGACAATTGACCCATCAGAGAATTCACTCTCGGCAAATATCGTTTCTGTGTCGTGCATAGTGGTGGCGTGCGCTTTGCGATGTATCAAGTGATATGCCGTTCAAACCTATGGAAAGAGATCGATTATCAGGGCGTTCGCAACGAACGTCATAAGAATCGATTCTTTAGTTTAGCCTCAAAAGGGAAAATACTGACAGTCGATTATCACCACTGGTGCAGGGAATACAGCCCAGAACCTGCACTGGCAATTTAAGCAACGTAACCGAACGCGTTAAAAGTTAAGTTCGGGGGTCAACGCTATTTTTCGTCTATTGTTGATTGATTAGTAACTTGTTGAGCATGAAATTCGACAAATGATGGCTGTGACTATCGGTTCGAGCACTTTGCCAGGCAAGTTTTCGCAAATTAGGTTTGGTTTTGGTAAGCTCTCTGCTCACTCAGCTGAACACGATCATGCTGGTACAATGCTGAGATAAAAATTGGTTGATTTAGGCCCAACTTTGCTTGCTTTTTTGTCATGCATGCATCGTAGATTCACAGCTATGCACTCATACACATAAATAATTTTACGGGTGTCTTTTATTAAAACTCTCGCGTTTTAGAGCTTCATTAGACACCAAATCATTATAAAATATTTATAATTATACTTGTAAACCATCTTACATGAAATGAAATCACTAGAGTAACGCGTAACACATATCACGCCTGAGGCATGAACATTTGTATATACTTGGTGTAGGCTCTCTGACTAAATAAAAGGATAAGGTGCATTTTCGTTGAGAAATTGGATTGTTTCAGCCAATTTTGTTACTTTGGTATGGAGTTACATTCCTTCGTACGAGAAATAACGATTTCTTCTATCTGAACGAGGGGCTTGGAGGACAAGGCGCGTAAGGGTGTAGTTTTTGCTACGTTGAAATACGTGTTTGAAGTTTGGAAATTACATGGATCCTAATGGCGGAAAGAAAGTTCAAACTGACATTTCGATGCTAAAAAATTGGAATTTGGGAGCGAATTTTTCACAGAATATGCATGAAGACTAGTAATACTTGAAATCATTAATACCTGAATTTTTTCAAAAACTGCGCTTATGCGCTTTTTCCTCCGAGCCTAGTGACAAGAGACCCTCCACTGGTATCTTAGCAATGGTGGCAGCTTTTACTCTCGGGACATCAGCATTCAACTGTTGAACAACCTGCTTGGTCGATGTTTAACAACGTGTTGGGAGTTTCATTTTGCAAACATACCAAAACATACCGGAATATGGAAAACTTGTTTGGCTCATGGCGTCACCCGAAGCTCATCATCCACCAAGTCGGTAAGATGACTGATGCTCCCTTATAATTGTCCAAAAGGAAATGTTGATTTCCCGAAAGTAAAAGCTTCCACACGGAGAAAAAAACCTCGTGCGTGGGACCAGAAGTTTAGGTCATATGGATCTCTGAAGTTTTCGGATTGAGCATCTGAACACTTTCGGTCTAGCTGTCGAAGTTCAGATCACACATCTGAAACTTCAGTTCTTACATCTGAAGTAATTCAGTTGTGAGAACTGAAGTTTTTCGGATGTGAGAACCGAAGTCATTCGGATGTGAAAACCGAAGTACTTCAGACGTAAGAACTGAAATTTCAGATGTGTGATCCAAACCTCAGCAGCTGGGCCTAAAGTGTTCAGATGCTCAATCCGAAAACTTCAGAGATCCATATGACCTAAACTTCGGGTCCCACGCACGAAGTTTTTTTCTCCGTGCACCTGTCGTGAAGAGGTCGGTAGAGGGTCTCTTGCCTCTGTCCGAGCCCCTCAAATGTCCCATGATGTGTTTTTCGGTGTTGAATGTTCGAGGTTATAACGGTTCATGTTTGTTGGTTGTTTCAGCTGCGGAAGCCGGTGTCGACAGTGTCCACACATTCGATTCCGGGGGCGATGAAGGAGAAGCCCGGGCGAGGGGACAGCGGGGGCGGGGACGACGGGGCGGGGATGGCCCTGGTGGGGATCCACGCGGACTTCCCGCGCTACACGGAGGAGCGGGAGCGGGCCCAGGGACTCCCGTGCAAGGGCAACAGCGTCGGCTCCACCGGGAACCTCCACAGCGTCAAGCACAAGCCCAGCGTCGGCTACAGGCTCGGCAAGCGCAAGGCCTTATTCGAAAAGCGCAAGCGGATTAGTGATTACGCCCTCGTCATGGGCATGTTCGGCATCATCGTCATGGTCATAGAGAGCGAACTCTCCAGTGCCGGCATTTACTCCAAGGTCAGTCTCTACACTCTTTTCTCCTTTCCTCTCTCAATGGAAAAAAAATACATTGGATCTAGAGTCCAGACTCTTGAAAACATTGACAAGAAAAAATACTCTTGATTCAATCAGATTTAAGCTCAAATCAAAAGGAAATCCGCTCAAATTAAGAGGCTTGGTTCTTGATTCAAGCTTAAATCTGATTGAATCAAGAGTATTTTTTCTCGTTGATGTTTTTAAGAGTCTGGACTCTAGATCCAATGTGGTTTTTTTCCAGCGCTCTCCTTTTTTCCTCTTATGCCGGAATCACGCGCTGAATTTGGCAGCTGAATAAGGAAGTCAACAGTCATCGCTCAACAGCTAAAATTTCGCAAATTCTAATTATTTTCATCCAGATTTGTATCAAATACATTCGAAATGTCCAGGCAAGGTTTCAGGACATTCCGTCAACGATTTTTTGTCCGCGCACCTGCTTTGTCCAGTAGTTTGCGTCCACGCGGAAAATAAAAGTTGTGTTGAAAGAAACCATACAAAAATGAATAAAAATGGGAGAAAAACCAAGAAGCACGCATTCATTAGTTTTAACCCGTATGACTATGTACATCGATCTTTAAGAGTCAAATACGTCCGATTTCGAGCGTTCGGTTGCGCGGATACCGCGCTGAAGCATATTAAAGCACAAAATATAAAAGAAAACATCAAAGTGCCTTGGGAATCATTAAATTTGACACAGACCACCGTAATATTTACGAAACACATTTTATATATTCCTCAAATACAATTTTTTTTTTTCATCAATTTGAATGAGGAAAATCCATGAAGAGTGTACAAAAATTTCAAAATCATGAACTGAAAAACACCGACTTCTAAATATTACGAGCCATAACGCAGAGCGGAGCGTCGTGCTACCGGCGCGAAACGCGCAATGGCGCCTACAAACCTAAGGGGATACTTTACGCATTGCGCAATGCTTGAAGTATCCCCTAAGGTTTGTAGGCGCCATTGTGCGTTGGGAGATGGCCCGCGGCGCGCCGCGCCGCAGCGTGCCATGGCGCCTCAAGCAACTATTTCACAATGGAGGTGTTGCACAGTATCAAACGAAATTGAAGGCGCTCCAACATTTTAAGAATGATAGGCATCCTTTAAGAGTACGAAACTTTCCTCGAAAAATAAATTAAGGTACTACGGCACGAACTCCCCTGCCGAAAAAACGCGAGGACATAAACCAGCATAGAACCAGGCGTGCGGACAAAAAATCGTTGTCGAAATGTCCTTCAACCTCAGGCAAATCTGACATTATCCGGTGGTCGCTGAGTCTCGTTGTTGAATTTTGCGCATTCAGCGCGCCTCCTTCAGCTGCCTTATTCAGCGTGTGATTCCGGCTTTAAACGCCAGGTACACCTGCTTGCTAGACGCGCGTCTAGGTCGCAGGTTTATCTATGGCCATTTAACGATGCATACAAAAATATGACCGGATCTGCGAAAAGAGACCTTTAAAAAGAGTAAAAAGAGAAAAAATATAGTGGAATAAAAGTAACGGGATTAGTTTTATTAAAGTATAGAGAAAACATAAAATCTCACTCATTTAAGTTTTCTAAAGATTAAGATAAGTCAAAAATGAAATATCATATTCATTATTCTCTAGTTTCTCTCCACAGATCCGGTAACAAATATTCAAAAGTTTCCAAGAAATTCGTATTTTATCAGAATGAATTTGGCAACGTACGAATGTCCATATGCACGTATCTCTTCAGCACTGCACTTTACCATGCCATGGACAATCACAGTCTTCGTTATATTTTAGATTTTGGGATTATTTAAAAATCAACACAATTTGAGCCGAAGATTCCGTTGGAACCTAACAAAATCGCTAATAACGTGTAGGTAAAGACGGTAGGTACGGAAAGAAACACTCGTTTTACCATGGAAGGAGAAATCATCAAGGTGTTACAATCACCTAAATTAATCATCTATTTAATGTCGTTCTTCTTGTCGTAAAGCTCGTTTTAAACACTGAAAAAAAAACTCCGGCCGTGGGAGCCGTAATTACGGGCTATATAGAGCTACCGTCCGTTCCGGGCTCAAAGGCCGGAAATTCCGGCTGCTGGAGCCGTAACTTCGATTGCTCCGGGTTTAGAGGCCGAAACTACGGCTCCAGCAGCCGGAATTTTCGGCCTTTGAGCCCGGAACGGACGGTAGCTCTATATAGCCCGTAATTACGGCTCCCACGGCCGGAGTTTTTTTTTCAGTGTTTAAAACGAGCTTTACGACAAGAAGAACGACATTAAATAGATGATTAATTTAGGTGATTGTAACACCTTGATGATTTCTCCTTCCATGGTAAAACGAGTGTTTCTTTCCGTACCTACCGTCTTTACCTACACGTTATTAGCGATTTTGTTAGGTTCCAACGGAATCTTCGGCTCAAATTGTGTTGATTTTTAAATAATCCCAAAATCTAAAATATAACGAAGACTGTGATTGTCCATGGCATGGTAAAGTGCAGTGCTGAAGAGATACGTGCATATGGACATTCGTACGTTGCCAAATTCATTCTGATAAAATACGAATTTCTTGGAAACTTTTGAATATTTGTTACCGGATCTGTGGAGAGAAACTAGAGAATAATGAATATGATATTTCATTTTTGACTTATCTTAATCTTTAGAAAACTTAAATGAGTGAGATTNAACGTACGAATGTCCATATGCACGTATCTCTTCAGCACTGCACTTTACCATGCCATGGACAATCACAGTCTTCGTTATATTTTAGATTTTGGGATTATTTAAAAATCAACACAATTTGAGCCGAAGATTCCGTTGGAACCTAACAAAATCGCTAATAACGTGTAGGTAAAGACGGTAGGTACGGAAAGAAACACTCGTTTTACCATGTAAGGAGAAATCATCAAGGTGTTACAATCACCTAAATTAATCATCTATTTAATGTCGTTCTTCTTGTCGTAAAGCTCGTTTTAAAGTGTCAAGGAGTATCACCGTCTAGTTGAATAATCTCATTGCCGTTATTTCCTTTCAACTATTTCCAGCGAAAGATTATCCGCCGCTTATTCCCCGAAAAGTAGATTTTCCTCGTACCGTTCTATTTCATAGCACGCACGGCAATGCAGCATTGCCAAGATGCACGGTGGGGTACTGGATGACAAAGCGATGCTAAGGGTGGATTCAACTATTCGAACTCCTTGGATGACCAGTTTGCTTCTGCAAAAATTGAAGGCGCCTTCGATATTTGTGTCTAGAGTGACTCGCAAAATGTTTCATGGCAGAACATTAAGTAGAGTCCAACTTTAAGAATCATGTTATATGGAATTTTCTCAAAATTTTGCGCAACTAGGGTTTTTTATGAAACTGTTAAGTACTATTAATGTTTCTTCCGATCTGTAAATTCAATCGCCCTCCAAGCGAAGAGTTAGATATTTACTCCAGTCCATCCGCAAACACATGCATAAAGCAAATGGTGTACTTTAAAGTCATAGAGTTTTCTAGTTGCTTCAATTTCCTTGTGCAAATGACATTCTGATCGGCCAACGACACCTTAGTGATGTTCTTAAAATGTCTCCGAAAATAATAAAATGTTTCACCGGTGTTTCTTTAAAACGGAGAGAAAAGTATAATGTTCGAAAATAATTTTGAGACGTTTAAGGAGCGAAATTAAACATAATCACATCTATACGTTCTTAACGTCTGTAAATTCACTGTTCAAACAATAATACTTTTAAAGCAAATACATTCTCTCGAGATGCAAATCTAGAGAGCACCTTCAATTTTTGCATAGGCAACCTGGACATCCATCAAGCTTGAATAGTTGCATCCATAGCCTTGGCATCGCATTGTCGTCCCTTGCTCCCGTGCATCCACCGTGCTCATCGGCATAGCTGCATTGCTGTGCGTGCTGAGAAAGAGGATGGTGCGTGAGAGCTGGCTGGAGTACCTAATTTTAGGAAAACACAACTTTTAAAATGTTCAAAAGTCCAAAAAATGTCAGTTTTTTTTGTAATGCAAAATAAAAAAATAATTATTGAATAAGTTATTCAAGGCGACTTCGCTCTCAGAATAAAATTGTTGCAAATGCTTAAAAAATGAGCTGTTTTTAGTTATTTCCGGGCAAAAAAGGGTAGGAGCTTAATTTAAGACCACGAGTATACCTCCTTTATCTTACCATACAACTTCAAATCTGATCCGAGCCCAAAAACAATGACTACAGCGAGTTAAAATTTGCCACGCAAATTTTTTGAGCACTAAAAATTTGGATCACTTTTAATAACTGAAATAAGCTCATTTGAGTCCCAGTCTCTCTCCATGAAACCCGCGAATATTTTTATTAAAACCCGGATTTTTTCGGTCAGCTCCTGAATGGAAATAATATAAATGGCCCCAACTGATGTGGTTACCACAACACTCCGATGACCGTAGTATAGAGTTAGCCGCTAAAGCCGAGAGCAGCCAAAAGCTCAAGGAGTGGGACAGGGGGCAGGGGGGGGGTAGAAAGCCGTCTGCGGTTAGCATTGCTCTGATTTAAGAGGATTTCATAAGCCTGGGTTGCTGGGATCCTTTCATGGAACCTGGTTTCGCGAGCCCCTTGACTCTCTCCCTTTATGCAGGACGCAACAGCTAAAGACATAAATACATTTTGGATGCGATAGCTTTATCTGGAAGGCACTGGTGCGGCTAAGGTGCAACTAGGCTCTCAGATATTAATTAATGTCTAAGATTCGATTCCGATGTAGATATTAGATTGCTATGGTGACTGACCTCTGTTCAGATCCTAAATGTAGGCATTTCATTCCATAAATGTAATAGTCTCTTCCCTTTTTTGTTCCTTGGACATTTCTCTGAAAACGCTTTTTTTGCGCTGAAGTCCTTCAATGTTGCACATTTCCGCCCAAAATTGGTTTGTGACCGTTTTTCAAAACGTCAAATGTTAGGGATTATTGAATTCCGGGTGTGAATCTCAACTTAATTTTCATTTTTTGATGGTTTCAAAGGTATTCGTGTGGA